TACCTATCAGCTGCCTCCGAAGTCCCACAGGTTAACCAAGCCCCATAGGACTCCTTTTTCAGCCTGGTGGCTCCCTTCACCTCTAGTATACACCATTTGCTGCAGCCGCAGCTCAATGCAGCAGCTTCAGCAATGGAGATGCTGAACATGGTCCATTCGGACTCAATGTCCCCAGTCTCCCTCTGAATGCTGTTGAAGCTCTGCCGGAGGTGTGCGTTGAAGATCTCGCGGATTGGGGCCTCTTCTAGGCGTTCCCAGCACACCCTCACTGCACATTTAGGTGCACCGGGACTGTCCAGCGTTCTCACCCGCCACCTGATCCAACTCACCACCAGGTGGTGATCAGTTGACAGCTCAGCCCCTCTCTTTACCCGAGTGTGGTGGTGTGGTGATACGATTACAAAATCAATCATCGACCTGCGGCCTAGAGCGTCCTGGTGCCACGTGCACTTATGGACACTCTTATGTTCGAACAAGGTGTTCGTTATGGCCAAACTGTGATTTGCACAGAAGTCCAATAACAAAACACCACTCGGGTTCAGGTCAGGGAGGGCGTTCCTCCCAATCACGCCCCTCCAGGTCTCGCTGTCGTTACCCACGTGAGCACTGAAGTCTCCCAGTAGGACAACAGAGTCTCCAGGTGGAGCACCTTACAGCACCCCACCCAGGGACTCTAAGAAGGCTGGGTACTCTGAACTGCCACTCGGTGCATAAGCGTAGATGACAATCAGGACCCGTTCCCCGACCCTAAGATGCAGGGAACAAACCCTCTCATCCACCGGGAAGAACCCCAACGTACCGGCAGCAAGCCGAGGGGATATAAGAATACCCACCCCAGCCCACCGCCTCCCACCAGGGGCAACTCCAGACAGAGTCCAGCCCCTCTACAGGAGACTGGTTCCAGAGCCCAATCCATGCGTAGAGGTGACCCCGACTATATCTAGCCGGTACCTCTCAGCCTCACGCACTAACTCAGGCTATTTCCCCACCAGAGAGGTGAGGTCTTGGTAGCTTGGGATCAGTCCGCCAGGGCCTCCGCACCTGGCCACCACCCGACACAATGCACCCAACACCTACGACGCCTCCTGCGGGTGGTGGGCCTGCGGGAGGATGGGCCCATGTCCCCTTTTCGGGCTGTGCCCAGCCAGGCCCCATGGGTTAAGGCCCGGCCACCAGACGCTCACCCTCGGGCACCCTCCCCGGGCCTGGCTCCAGGGCGGGGCCCCAGTAACCCTATCCCGGGCATGGTAAACTGTTCCCTCGATGTTTTTCTCATAAGGGTCTTCTGAATCGCTCTTTGTCTGGTCTCGCACCCAGGACCAATTTGCCATGGGAGACCCTACCAGGGGGCAAAAGCCCCCGGACAACATAGCCCCTAGAATCCCTGTGACAAACAAACCCCTCCACCACTATAAGGTCGCGATTCACGTAGGAACCACTTCACAAAATCACAAATGATTGACTACTCTGGGCTGTTAACCATACTTGAGCTCTTCCTGTGATATAGTGACCTGTTGGCACTTACTACTGTTGGTTTAACCCTTGTGTTGTCCTCGAGTCATTTTTGACCCGAAAAGAAATCTTGTTATTCATCAAATGGTCTGAAAAAGAGTTATTCAATACTATGCTATGCATGATTGGAATAAGTTTTAAGTAATTTTATTTATTTATTTATGGGGTTTTTATTGGATTTTAAAACACCTATTGTCCTCGCGGGTCAAAAATAACCCCAAAGTACAAAGTGTTGCAAAGGGCCACATTGTCACACCATACTGCTTTCAAACATCTTTGATCTTGGATCACTGATGTGTGGGGTCAAGCAATGGTCATAACATCCACAACAACAACAAAACAGGCAGCACAATGAGGAGACAGGTGCTCTACATTCAGTTCAATTCAATTTTATTTGTACAGCGCCAAATCACAACATTTTCTATCCTTTCCATTGACAGACAATGCATGACTCTCTCATGCATCACAGAGAAAAGACAATCTACCACGGTCCAAGCACATATGCCAGGTCCCATACTCCTTCGATTGCTTTTCTACTCGAGCACTGAAAGAATTATACACCATGTATTATGCTTGTATTATGCTTTTTAACTTTCACATGCCAGTGGATGCATCAGAGACCAAGTTGGGGTTCTGTAACTTGCCCAAGAACACCTTGGTAAGAACTCCAGCTTAGAGCACATAGAGATTGAACCAACAACCATCCAATTAGCAGATTACCTGCTCTACAGCCACCTCAATGACAAACAAGGAGGGACAACAACAGATGAAGAATAATGGAATGAATGCAGCTGTAGGCATATGTGGTATGTTGATTCTTACTGCCGTAAGAATTTACTACATGGAACATGCTAGTGTACGATGGCAAACTATCTGGCCTGCAGTCAGGGCACGCAAGTTGTCCCTAACATTGGAGAAGGTTTCCAAAAGAAAACAATCACCTGTAAAAACTTGTTTACTTCATAGGCCCTTGGCCTGCAACTGCAGAAAAGAAAGCTGTCCATGATGGGACCAGTACAGAGGGATAAACCTGAGCTTCCTCCTGCACTTGTGTCAAATATGGACACACCTTTGTTCTCATGAAAGTTTGCCTTCACTAAGACCCATGCCCTGGTGTCCTACCATGCCAAAACATAGAAATAATGTCAGGTAATGAGTTGGAATAAAGTTGAATTAAACCTTGAATCACAGAGATGGATGATATTTTATACCTTTCCATTATAAATAGTCAAACCAGACGGGGTCATTTTTGAGCCCAAAGGACAACAGATGTGATTATTTGCTGCCAGTAAAAAACTTGAAGTAGTTTAAAAACAGCTTTCTAAATCAACTTTGACATATACCTGTCTGTCATAATCTGTTAAAGCAACCAACTCTGGTTGTGAAACGATAATAAGAAGAAGTTTAAATTAGGCTTTATCAGACATAAATTTGAAATGGAATAAAGAAATAACGTCAAAATGTTTGAATTAAGTTTTAAAAGAGGGTGAAAAATCTACTTCATATTTTTTTAAGTATCAATCAAACCAGATGGGGTCATTTTTGACTCCTGAGGACAACAGGTGTGATTATGTACTGCCATTTAAAAATGTTAAATGATTCAAAAAAACAATTCTCACTAAAGTTCAGCATACAGCACTCTGTGGTTATTCAGTTAGTCAGAATAATCTAAACATTTTAAATTTTTATTATCCCGTTTTATTTTCGCTCAAAAACAGACTATACTTTTTGTAAACAAGGTCTGGTGGCCCTAAATTGCATAATGAGGGGTTAATTTTGTGTCGATATGTTAATCTTAAGTAAAACTAAGGTGTAACACTGAATTGATTGACAATTTGTACTTTGTACTTGAAAAAACACTCAACTGACGTCGGGTCATTTTTGATCCCTGAGGACCACAGGTGTATGGAAATCAGGAGGACAACACAAGGATTAAATAGTATCTCTTAGATCAGTGGTTCTCAAACTGTGGTACACATACCACTGCTGGTACTTGTGCTCTCTCTAGTGGTACACGCGAAATATCCTTTTTTTTTTTTGATTAAATAATATACCATTGTGGAGAGAATTCCCGAGGCTCTTCTAGGAGCCAGAGTCAGAAAAACTAATGCATCATTATAGCTAAGGGGGATAAGGAATAACTAAACATCTCACATACCGCAATGCAGACTAGTGGGGCAGAAATGTGAACACTAACATTCACTCAAAGAACACTTCACTCTATCTTCTGAGCCAGAACCTAGGCACCCAGCATGGAAATGATTATGAAAAGAATAGATGTAAAAGTCTATACATGTACAGACCATAAATATTGAGTCCAGGTGTGTTTGATGCCGCTGGGCAGACTGACCACTGGGAACCTCTGAGCTCTCCTGGTCCACTCTGTGGAGGAATAATGTAGTCAGAAAAATACAACAAAACATTAAAAGATAAAATGCAACCTAAGAAGTGCTGGTCTACTTAAGGGAAAAAATAAAAAAAAATAAAACGCTCCCACACTAATGCCTGGAGCTATCGGACACAAAGATATTAAGTAAATACTCTTGTTATGTTAACATTAACAACATGCAATTCCAAGCACTGCATCCATCTAAACAATGATAAAGCCAACCAGTGACTATTATTTTTATGAAAATACACGAACCATTAAAGATTTCTGCTCCCTACTGCTTTTCTGTGAAAGAACTGTGTTTTAAAGCCCAGCATGAATGGTGATCATTTTGTATCACGTATTAGTGTAAGCATGGTCTAGAGTACTATACCCTTTGTAACACAGTTTCACTGTTCATAAACTGGAGCAAAAACAGAGCGATCGTGGCTCAAGAGTTGGCAGTTGGTCTTGTAATCGGAAGGTTGGTGGTTCGAGCCCTGGCTCAGACAGTCTTGGTCGTTGTGTCCTTGGGCAAGAGGGGCCGATGGCGCAATTATGGCAGCCTCGCTTCTGTCAGTCTGCCCCAGGGCAGCTGTGGCTACAACTGTAGCTTGCCTCCACCAGTGTGTGAATGTGA